TCCTCTCCAAGGCATCTGGGACCTGGGCCCAACCCCACCCAGGACCAGGTCCCACTCACGCTTATCTTGAATAGACATGTCTATAAGGGCTGAAGGGAAGCCTGGCCCAGGGCCTCAGTCCTCTAAGCCTAGGCTTACAGCTGCTTCCTTCCATCTGGTCAGTCAAGGTCTCCACAGCCCCCAGTGAAGGGTGGGGGTTGGGCTGGTGCCCAAGAAGGCAAATCCACCCCAAGCCTCCAGGAACCTCCAGGCCCCAGGGACTTCACTGAGAGTGGGGGAGGGTGGAGAGCTGCAGAGCCGGGATGGACAATGTTCTCTAGTCCATCCTAAGTGGTCATTAAGAACTATTCCCAACACTAGGAGCCCTAGCTCAGCCCCACAAGCTACGTTGAGATTTCCTGGTTGCCCTCAAAAAGATTAGGCTTCTCTGCTAGGATTTCTACCAAGGCAAAGGCTTGGTCTCATCTAAACTATGGTGTCCACTATCCTTAGCGGGCACTTAATAAACACTTGTTGAACTGAGTAACATTGGCCTCTTCGTCCTTCAACCTGCCTCCCTCCCCCCCCACAAGAGGACTTAAAGGCTGGAAGTCCAAACCCTGAATTCTGAAGCCAGCTCAGCTACCAGCTTTCATTCTGGTCGGTGAGTGGGCTACTTCCTATCCCTGGGCTTCAGTTTCAGCTTCTGAAAATAGATTGAATGGCCTCCAATTTAACTCCAAGAGGGCAGGGATGACTTGACTAAACTCTTTCCCAGGTTTTGGCACACAGTAGGCATTTCATAAACTCGAAATCATCGTCTAGCTTCTACAAGGTCTCTTCCAACCCTGAGCTCTGAAGGGGAGGTTGGGGGGGGGGGTGATGGAATGGCGTGTTGAGGCGAGACCACAGGGGCAGGAAACTAGGATTACTCATCGTGGGCGGATTAATAACTGAGGTGGGAGCCCCTTCAGAGGAACAATTAATAAAATTAAAAGGTAAAGACAGTCATCTCAGAATTCCAGGCCCAGCTTCCCTGCCAGGCCTCCCAAGCAGTTGGGGTGGGGGCGAAGAGCAGTCCTGCCCAAGATCCCCTTCCCCAGCAAACTTAGGCTCCAAGTAGCTCCGAGAAGGGAGGGGGGGGAAGGGGCTGGGGAGGGCCGCAGGGGGCAGACAAGAGACAGATGCCCGGCCTAGCCCAACCCAACGCACTGTAGTCTGCTTCTAAAATTAATTCGAGAGCCCCAGGAATGGGCGGGGGCAGGGAGTGGTGGGGGCACCCCCTAGCCCGGCAAGAGAGGGGGACAGGAGGCAGGACGAGGTAACCGCGGGCTCTGAGCTGAGTTGCTTTGGACTGTGCGTCCCAGCCACCTGGACTGGACAGGACCGTGCGTCCCAACGGTCCGGACCCTACAACCCTACGACTTTCCCAGGACACAGATATGAGGAGGCAAGAGCCGGAGCAGCCTCTGAGCACCCCCGTCCCCCTCCAGATGGAGCAGGGGAACCAGGGCGGCGCACAGAGCTAAGACTTCCCCTCCATCTCCTCCGTTCTATTCTGCCCAGTTCGGCACGTCAGCCTTGTCCCCTTTAAGAACGGAGCCTATGTTCTTATGAATGAACTTGAGGGTAAAACCGGACTGAGAAGGCCAGGTTCCAGGTCCTGGAGTTTCGATTCTGGGTTCCAGACGCCCAGGTCGTGGCTCCAGGGCTTCGGGAGCCGGGAAGCCGGGCCGGATGAGGTAGCGGAGTCACTCACCACCACGTGGAGCTGGAAGCCGGCGGGCCACGCTACCCGAGAAGGGAGAGGAAGGGGGTGGGGTGGGGCTGCTCGCCTGCTCCAGCCCTCCGCCCCACCTGAGCTGGAGCTAAACCTGTACTCCCAACCTGACGCCACCATATCTACACCCTCTTCCCCCAGTACCCCGCTCAACCCTGAGCCTCCAGAGAGTACACAGCCCCGCGCCGGACCCTTCTACTAATCATTCTTCCTTTTGGGTAGGACTCTAACCACCCTCCAACCCCAACTCTTTGCTTACTCTGCCTGTCCAGTGTCCCAGTTAATCGTCCGCTGAAACGAGCCACATCCGACCCCTTGCCCCAAGCAGTCCACCGAAAAGCTAAGGACTCTTTCCGTATTCCTGGCCCCGAGCTGGAACCTGCCTTCCTCCCCATCCTGGCCCTAAGCGTCACGCTCTCGCCTCTCTAACTCTGTGCCCCCATCCCAAGACCTACTCCTCCAGTCCTTTAAGCGTCCCAGAAGTCTCTCCCCCACTTCCTTATCATCCTACCCATCTCCAGCCTTATACTTTCCACCTGTACGCCCTCTTCCACAGCAGCCCCTCAAGCTCAAGCTGATCCCCTTTCCCTGAACCCTTCCCCTCCCCGTTCCCATCTACCCTAAATTTATTCCGCCCCGCTACATATACTCTTCCCCGATCCACAACCACCACCACCTGCTCCCCTTTTTCCTAACTAAACAAATCTCTGCCCCTCCCTCACTGTGCTGTGCGTCCCCAATTCTCTCAGCTCAGTGTCCCGTGATTCTGTCCCCCAGATCCGGGGCTCTCCATCCTCCAGCCTCAGGCCTCCACGCTCCCCCCTTCTTTGTTCCTCGTATGTCCCCCTTTCCCCAATGTGCCCCCCACAACTGCCCCCACATGCCACTCTACCCTTCCAGCTATTTGCCATCTCCCGAACCTATAATCCTCCGACCCTGAGCCGCCGCCATCCTTGCGCTAGCACCTCAACACCATCCTACTTCCCCACTGCGCCCTTCTCACCTGAGTCCGCCCGTTCTCCTCGCCCCGAAGGATGCCCGGGGGTAGCAGCCCGGTGGCTGAACCGCTCTCTGCGCCCTCGCCTTTGGCCATGGCCCGGATCCGAGCAGAGCTGGGGCGGCTGGGGCAGCGCTCGGCTTTGAATGAAATACAAGCGAAAGCAAAGCGCCAGGCGGCGGAGCCGGCAGAGAGCTCTCTGCCGTCCGCTTTCTTTCTTTCTTTTTCTTTCGCTTGCTTGTATGTATGTATGTATGTGTGTGTGTGTGTGTGTGTGCGTGTGCGTGCGCGTGTGTGTGCTTCCCTGCTCCGCCTCCCTTCGGTCTTTTCTCGACTTTCCCTCCTCCGCCTCCTCCTCCCTTCTTAAGGACCTGCCTCGCAGGTCCGCCCCCTGCCAATCAACGAGTCCTGCCCCCATCCACGCCCCGGGGCACTGGCCCAGGCTTCGGCGATGCCCACGGCTCCCGCATCTTTTATGATGCCCGCAGCTCCCGGGCCGACGCTTCCACTTCCTGAAGTCTTTTGTGCTTCCTTCACCTGGTGCCTGGGGGCTTTACCCCAAGCGCCTAGGAGCGGTCCAATGCCGGGATCAAGAGGACAATCCAGCCGTACCACAGTACTATTCTTCCACGGGAGAGAAAAGGACCCTGGTGTTCCAGTTCTAAGAATCCCATTCCCAGTCTTGGGGCCAAAGGAAGAGTCCTCCTCAGAGCTCAGGCTGCGCCCTAGGGCAGCTGCTACGACCCTCAGGAATCTCCTGGAACAGCGAACCAGCCCACCCTCCATTTGAGCTTCCCAGGGCCTGATCTTCTCAGCCCCACCGAGACACTCTACATTTACAGTATTAATTGTCTGCTAAACACCGTTTCAGGCTGCTAGGCGATGCAGTGGATAGTGCACCAGGCCTGGAGTCTAAAAGATCTGAGTTCAAATTCGGCCTCACACATTTACAGTGTAACCCTGGGCAAGTCCCTTAATCCCTATTTGCCTCAGTTCCTCGTCTGTAAAATGGAGACACACTGGAGGAGGAAATAGCAAACCACTCTAGTATCTTTGCCAAGAAAACTCCGTGGTCAGGAAGAGTCAAGGCTGAAAAATAACAAAGCCAAATGCTACAAAGACTAGAGGAAAACCAGCCCCGGCCCTCTAGGAGTTTACATTCTGATGGGGGATATTATATGGAAATAGGCTTTTACGTGATAATAAGAGAGGGAGTGAAAGGGCCCCTGTCCCCTAGGAGTTTAAATTCGTTGAGGGACACTATATGGAAATTAGAGATAATGGGGGGAGTGAGAGGGAGGGCAATTATAGCTCTGGGGAACTAGAAGACTGAACTTACTTATTAAAGAACTGGTGCAAAACCATCCTAATTAACATGTTTATAAAATCAAATCCCTGGTCTGAAACGACTATCCCCAAACTGGAGATTTAGAAAGAGATCTGAAGTCTGAACAAGAGACTTCTGGGTGCTTTTGCTGTTTTATAGTCTGATTAAATGTTAAAGCATACTGATAAAAACAATCACATCTTTGTTATGGGGGTGGAGGGAAGATCTAGGCAACATCAAAACAACAGATATCGAAAGAGATCTATTTTGAAAAATTAATAACCTCGAGAATGTATGCAATGATTTAGTTGTTCAAAGAACTTTACATAGATTGTCTAACTTGAGTTTCAGAACAGTCTGAGGAGGTAAGGACTATTTGCCAGCCCCCTGAATAAGCCAGCTCCTGTGTACCTCTTGTAAGGGCTCTCAGGGGCTGCCCTAAAGACTGGCCCAGCTGAGCTGAGGTAACTGCATTTTACTCTGCACAGATCACTCACACGCAGGTTGGCCCATTTCTATCCCCACTTAGCCCCCTCCCCTACTCCAAAAGGAAACAGTTGCTGGTATGATAGCTGTGTCCTTGGCCATCATTTAGTAGGGACTGAGACATCTGTGAAGGAGTCTGGGGGGTTGGGCTGGGTCAAGAGGCCTGAATGTGAGTCCAATCTCTGTCACTTATTAGTCCTGTGGTATCTGGCAATACCTCCCCTATTTGAGCCTCAGTTTTCTTGTCTGTAAAATGAAGGGTGGAGGGAGGAGTGGGCACTCGGAGTGCCCACCTTCTTCTGAACACCCAGGACAGCTGCTACATTTCTATAATTTTCTTAGCTCTGAAGGTGTCCCATTCCTCCTTACCTAATCCTTAATCTCATCCATTGGAGAACACTAGAAGAAACATTGACTCAGAGGATAGAGCCTTACGAGGTCAACCAAGAAGAATTTATTATACTGCAGCCTCGTACTTCTATGTTCCATGAATGATGCCAGACCCTGGGCAGACAGAAACAAAAGCGAAACAAAGTAAACATGGGGATATACAAGATAAGTACAACGAGATTGGGGAAGGGGAAAGGTCCTTTAAAGAAAGTGGCATTTGAGTGGAGCTTTTAACGGGTCAAGGGGTTCCAAGAGGTAAAGGGAAGGAACATTCCAGGAATGTGGGACAGAGGTAGTCAGTCAGTCCAAAAGGACTGATTAAGCATCTACTACATGCGCTAACTGCCAGGGATACAAAGAGAGGCAAAAGACAGTCCCTGCCCTCAAGGGCCTTACAGTCTAATAAAGGAGACAATGTGCAAATAAATATATACAAAGCAAGCCATATACAGGATAAATAGGAAATAATTAACAGAGGGAAGGTGTTGGAATTAAGAGAAGTTGAGAAAGTCTTTGTTTAGAAGGTGGGATTTTAATCGGGACTTAAAGGAAAGAAGCCTGAGAGGTCGGTGGCTGGAGTGGAGAAGGGAGTATTCCAGACATGGCGGACAGACAATGAAAATGCCTTCAGTCTGTTCGTGGATCATGCAGGAGGCCAGTGGCACTGGATCTGATTCACTTGCATATCATGACATCCCCTCCCTGAAGTTAGCAACAGCTTGGATATGGGGGGAGGGGGTTGAGACATAGTGAGGAGTCCAGGATGACTCCTAGGTTGGGAGCCTGAGGGACTGGGGTAGTATTGCCCTGTATAGTCATAGGGGAGTTGGGAGGGGGAAAGTTTAGAGGAAAAAATAAATTCCATTTTAGACACCAAGTTGGAGATGCCTGAAAGGTAGTTGGAGATGTAAGATTGGAGGTCAACAGAGAGGTTGGGGTGGGATCGATAGATTTGAAAATCATCACTAAGAGGTGGTAATTAAATCTAAGGGAGCTAATGAGATCACCAAGTGAAGTAGGATAGCAATAACAACAGAAGAGAAGAATGACAAAACCCTGAGATTAGAGGCTGTTATCTGTTGGAGGATCCAGCAAAGGAGATAGAGAAGGAACAGTTAGATGAGTAAGAGAACCAGGAGAGGGTGGTGTCCTGAAAACCTAGAGAGAAGAGAGTATCTAGGAGAAGAGACTGATCAAGGAGGAGTGATCAAGGTCAAGGAGAATGAGGATTGAGGAAGACTTGATGAGAGACAACATGCAAACAACTAGGTGCAAACAAGATATAGGCAGGATAAGTTGGAGATAATCCTCAGAGGGAAGGCACTAACATTAAGGGGAATCAGGAAAGGCTCCTTGAAGTAGGTGGAGTTCAAACTGAGTCTTAAGGGAAGCCAGAGAAAGTAGAGCGCAGAGATGAGGAAGGAGAGTAGTCCAGGCCTGGAGGAGAACCAGGGAAAACATTTAAGAGTCAGGAGATGGAGTATTATGTGTAAGGACCAGCAAGGAGGCCGATATTGCTGAATCACAGAGTATGTGTGTGATGGGAGCTGGGGATGGTGGAGGGGAGTGGAGAGAGAGAGAGAAGTAAGGTATAAGAAGACTTGAAGAGGGGTCAGGTCATAAACAGCTTTAAAAGTCAAACAGAGGGTTTTATTTTTGATTCCGGAGGCAATAGGCAGCCACTGGAGTTTATTGACTAGGAGGGTAACATGGTCAGACTTGTGATTTAGGAAGATTAATTTGACAGCTGAGTGGAGAATGAACTAAAGTGCAGAGAGACTTGAGGTGGAGAGGCCAACCAACAGGATATTGGAATAATCCAAGTGTGAGGCGATGAAGAGTTAGACTTGGGTAGTGACAGTGTCAAAGAAGAGAAGGGGAGATATATATGAGAAGTTATGAAAATAGAAATAGCAGGGCTTGGCAAATGATTGGATATTGGAGAGAGGGGAGAGACAGAGACAGAGAGAGACAGAGAGACAGAGAGAGAAGTCAAGAATGACACCTAGGTTGAGAGCCTAGGAGGATGGTGGTACCCTCAACAGTAACAAGAACCTTAGGAAGAGAGGAGGTATTGGGGAAAAGATAATGAGTTCAGTATTAAACATGTTAGTTTAAAATGTCTACAAGATATCCAGTTCCAACTGCCCAATAAACAGTTGGAGATTGTTGTTGTTATTGTTGTTCGTCCTTCACAGTTGGAGATTAGAGACTGGAGGTCAGAAGAGAGGTCAGGGCTGGATAAATAGATCTGAGAATCGTCAGCTTAGAGACGACAGTTGAATTCATGGGAACTGATGAGGTTACCAACTGAAATAGTATGCAGGGGTGGGGAACCAGCAGCCTCAAAGCCACGTGTGGCTCTGTAGGTCCTCAAGTGCAGCCCTTTGATTGAATCAATACTTCACAGAACAAATCCCCTTAATAAAAGGATTTGTTCTGTGAAACTTGTACTCAGTCAAAAGGCCAAACCCAAGGGCCTCGAGGCCCGCAGGTTCCCCACCCCTGGAGAGGCAGATGAGAAGAAGGCCCAGGACAAGGCCTATGGGCATAACCTGAGTGAAGATCCAGCAGAGTGGCCTGAAAAATCAGACAGTTAGGAGGAGGACCAGGAATGAGCAGCGTCACCAAAACCTAGAGATGAGAGTAACAAAGAGAAAAGGACAATCAGCAGCGTCCAAGATAGCAGAGTTCCAGAAATGTGGGGATTGAGAAAAGGCTTTTAGAGATTGCAGAGAGCAGTTTCAGGCGAATAATGGGGTCTGAATCCAGACTGCAGAGGATCTCACTAGGTGCAAGGAAGTAGAAGCATCCATTGGGCAAAACTTCAGACAGAGGAGTTTCTAGTTTGTCTCAGAGGCAAGGGGCAGCCACTTCTTGGAGCAGGAAGGAGTGACATGATCATACCTGAGCTTTAGGAATATCAATTTGAAAGCTGTGTAGAGGATGAGTTGGAAAAGCAGGGAACCAATCAGGGGGCTATTGCAATAATCCTGGCTAGAACTGAAAAGGGCCTGGACCATGTAGTTATGGTATGAGTGGAGAGAAGGCTGCAAAAGATGTTGAGAATCAACAAGGTTTAGCAATTGGTTATGTATGTGGGACAGGGGAAAGGAGGGAGAGGAAAGACTTGGGAGTGAGGGAGATATGGGTGACCAGAACGATGGTGGTGCATTCAATAAAAATGGAGCAGGGGGTTGAATTAAGGGAGAATACGATAAGTTTGTTTTTTTGGGCGTGCTGAAAATAAGATACCTATGGGACACCAGATGGAGATACCTAGCGGGCAGTGAGAGATGGGGAATTGGAGGTTCAGAAAAGAGTGCTAGACATGCAGGTTCGGGAGTCAACTGCATAGAGATGCTAATTGAATTGATAGAAACTGATGAGATTCCCCAAGAAGGAAAGTGGAGAAAAGAAGAACCCCAATCACAGCTCTCAGGTACCTCCTGGCATAAGAAACTGGGCATGAAGTTGTCAGGAATCCTTTGGTGTATCTGCAGCTTCACTGAGGATCCTAAATCTTAGAAGTGGAAAGGATCCCGGAGAGGGTTTACCTGCAAACAATGAAGGAATGCCCTTTGTAAGGACCCTGACAGATGGATATCCTCCATTCTGTGCTTGAAGCCTTATGAGCTGACCATTTCATAACATTCCATTGTTGGACTAACAGGATTTTCATCAAGCACTTATTTTGTGTCTGCTATGTGCCAGGCACTGGGATAGACGGAAAGGATATGTGTATGTATGTATCTATGTATGTACACACATATATACATGTGTGTATATATGTAGGCGTATTATATCTATGTATATACACACACGTATACAAAATATACATTTATCTTCTTCATACATAGTTGTTTGCATGTTGTCTCCTCCATTAGACTAGGAGTTCCTTGAGATCAAGGACTGTCTATCACACACACACACACACACACACACACACACACACACACACATACATACACATATTGTTTTTGTTGAGTTGTTTCCATTGTGTCCAACTCTTTGTTCTTCATGATCCCATCTGGGGTTTTCTTGGCAAAGATACTGGAGTGGTTTGCCATTTCCTTCTCCAGCTAATTTTACAATGAGGAAGCTGAGGCAAACAGGGTTAAGTGACTTGCCCAGGATCGCACAACTAACCAGATTTGAACTCATGACAATGAGTCTTCCTGACTCCAGGTCTGGCTTTCTATCCATTGCACCAGCTAACTACTCATGTATGTGTATGTGTATGTGTATACACACATACATACATACATACATGTATCTATATCTATGCACACATATACATATACATATATACATACATATATATATACACACACACCCCATATCATGTTGCCTCCCTACCTAGTTTGTGAAGCTGAAATAAGAGAACATATGCCAAGTGTTCTGTAAACTTGAAAGAGATATATAACTGTCAGTCATTGTTATTGAGTTGTTTTGTTGATAATGAAGGAAGCTAGGTCAGGAAGTTCAAATCCAGCCTAACTACATTTACTAGTTATGTGACCCTGGGCAAGATACTTAACCTCTGTCTGCCTCAGTTTCCTCATCTATAAAATGGGGATAATAAAAGCACCTACCTCCCAGAGTTGTTGTGGGGATGAAGTGAGATATATTTGTAAAACACTTTGCACACCTTAAAGCCCCATATAAATGCTAGTGTTTATTCATGTGCAAACCACGTAAGACATATTCCCTCATAGGAGAAGGCTATAAGAAGCTATGAGCATCTGCTCCAAGGCCAACCTCCTGAAAACATAAACGCACTCTTCACTGCTCCCAGAAGGTGAGCTATCATGAGACAGGCATACTCAGTTAGTCAAAGCAAGTGGAGTCCTATGCAACTGCATCAGTCCTGAGTAGGTCAGTTGAGGCTAAACACAGAGGTTGGGAGAATTCCTCTGGCATCACTGGCTGTACTCATGGTTATTCATCGGTCTGGCTGGCCTACCGTCTACATGCACATTGACCATCTAGCCTGTATCACTTTCCTCAACTGGACCACGAGCCCTAGAGGAGCGTGACTCTGTTTTAGCTAAGTTGAGTGTGCCAGTCCATGCTTCACATTCCACCCATCCATCCATCTACCCATCCAGCCAGACAGCAGGACCTGTTCAGCTCAGGTATTTTGCCATGTGACATGTGCCTTGCTGCTACACATTCCATCCCCTCCCCGCTTCCGTCTCTCACTCTAGAAACAATAATAAAATCTATACTCCGAAAGCTGCTAGAAAGGCCATGACAACTAATCACCATATAACCCTCCTCACAATCCCTGTGAGTGTGAGTACCAAACCCAAAGCTTGCTTCCCTGGCCACCACACTATATTTGTGTTGTATCTCCTTATTAATTTCCTTGAGGGCACTTTCGTATTTCTATCCTCAGTGCCTGGCTCACAGTAGGTGCTTTAATAAAAGCTGATTGGAAGATCTGTTGTCTCTCACCAGTGCCCAGTACTGTGTCCTACACACAGCAGGTGCTTAATACCCCCTTTGTTAAATTAGGCTGAATTGAAGGCATCCCAGACATTCCCTCTGGATTATCCTTTCATTCATTCAACAAATATTCAGGGAACACCTACTATGTGAAGGTCCTCTAGATGTGAAGCCACAGAAAGATGAATAAGACCCAGTCTTTGCCTGCACCCAGGGAGACCACACTTCAGTAGGAGAGATAAGACATGGACAGGAATAACACAGGCTGATCCTGGGCCAGGAAAACAGAAATGGGAATCAAGTGACGAAGGAAATGGTCGTGGTGTTGGCCCCAGAGCCCTAGATTCAGAGTCAGAAACCCTGGGTTCTCATTTCGGCTGGGTTACTTTAGAGTCTGCGTAACCATGGCCAAATCTCTTTTCTCTCTCTCTCTTTCTCTCTGTCTTTCTCTCTCTCTCTCTGTCTCTGTCTGTCTCTGTTTCTGTCTCTCTTGATCTCTCTGTCTCTGTCTCTCTGTCTCTCTCTCTGTCTCTGTCTCTCTGTCTCTCTGCCTCAGTTTCTTCCTTTGTAGAGCTGAATTAGATGACCTCTAGTCTGAAATCTTGTTCACTGTTGTATTGTCTGCTCCTGGGATGGGCTTAGGTGGGGGCAGGGGAGTGGGAGGGGGAGGGGAGGGGGAAGGACATCACTGAAGACTTCAACAAGAAGGGAAAGGATCCTGGAAGAAAGAGTTAGAAAAGTGATCAAGACTAAACAAAGCCTCTTCTGAATAAAGCCGTTGAGCTAATGATTCCCAGCATTCGCGTGCTTTAAAGTTTTCCAGGCACCTTTTATGGAGGTCTCCCTTTGAGCCTCACAATAGCCACGGAGGCTAGTGCTACAGATATTATTGTGCCCATTTTACAGATGAGCAAGCTGAGGCTCAGAAAGGTTTGGTCACTTGCCCAGGGTCTGCATGTATCTACATATTTTTTTTTCCTATTAGAATATAATCTCTTTGTATCCTCAGTATTTTTTCAGTGCCTGGTACATGTTGTTGGTGGTGTTCAGTCGTTTTCAGTTGTGTCTGACTCTTCTTGACCCTCCATGGAGTTTTCTTGGCAAAGATACTGGAGTGGATGGGGGGCAGCTAGGTGGCGAAGAGGATAGAGCTCCAGCCTTGGAGTCAGGAGGACCTGAGTTCAAATCTGGCCTGACGCTTGACACTTCTTACTAGCTATGTGACCCTGACCAAGTCATTTAACCCCGATTGCCTCACCAAAAAGCAAAAACAAACAAAAAAAGTCCCTCCCAGCTCTATGGTCTAAGTCAGTGGTTCTTAACCTTTAAAAATACTGGAGTGGTTTGCCATTTACTTCTCCAGTGTGTCCCCATTTTACAGATGAGAAACTGAGGCAAATAAGGGGGTAAGTGACTTGCTCAGGGTCATACAGCTAGTACTTGTCTGAGGTTGGATTTGAACTCAGATTTTCCTGACTCCAGGTCTGGTGTTTTATCCATTGTACCAACTAGCTGCCCTGACCTGGCACACAGCAGGCCCTAAATAAGTACTTGTTGGTTGATACAGTTAAGAGGTGGTAGAAGAAACATTGGAACCCAGCTAGCTGCTTCACTAGTTCTAATAGTTTAAAAATGTACTAAGACTTTTGGAACTTCCCTTATTGTTTCATTTTTTCCTCACAACCACCCTGGGAGGTAGGTACTATTATTCTCCCTATTTTACAGATGAGGAAACTGAGGTAGAGAGAGCATAAGTGACTTGCCCAGGGTTACATAGCTAATAAGGGTCTGAGGCTGAGGCTAGGAGCCCCTCACTCTATCCACTGCACCATCCTCCTCTCCAGACAGGTTTTTCCTTTTTTTGAACCCAAATCTACCTTCCCATAATATCTACGCATTGTTTCTATTCACCTAGGACTAAACAAAATCAGAATAATCCCTTTTTTCTACAACAGCTCTTTAGACACCTGAAGACATCATGTTTTCCCTACTGAGACTGTTTTTTCTAAGGCTAAACCTGCTCCAATCCTTCAGGCTCCAATCCTCCAGGCTCCAATCCTCAGATGGCGTGTTCTCTAGTCCCCTCCCCATCCTGGTCACCCTCCTCTGGACTCCAGCTCTGGCTTGTCAGTGACCCTGGACACATTATTCCAGATAGGGCCTGACCAGAGGGAAACACAATGGGCCTATTATTCTCTGGAGTCTGGACAGTAGGCTTTTCATGAATGCTGCCTAAGGTTCACTGAGCTGTTTGGGCTGTTGGGGTCACACTGTTGGCTCAGAGTGTTTCTGTGGTCATTAACTGCACCCCCTTATTCCCATGCATTGCTGGCCAGCATTATCTCCCCCCCCCTCGACAGCCCACTCTCAGTCCTGAACAGCATTCGCATGTCTAAACCTAGGCTCAGTAGGCATACAGCTGCGGCTTGGGGGAGGAGAGGACTCCCTGAGGTTGAGCTCCCAGACAGAATTCGGAAAATAACAGTAAGGAGGAGCTAAGGCCTGAGGCAACATTACCCACAACTCGGGATTAAAACCTGATTACAATAATAAGCTGCTAAAAATAAAATAAAACAAAATGAAAATGAATAAGCAAAGGAAAAAGAGGCTAGTATATTATAGGTATATCATAAATAGCTATTATGGTGTAAAAGAAGATCTGGGTTCAAATTCAGAGAAAGATAGGTTAAAAAGAAAGTCATTCCTACCCCAAAGAGTAATGTAAATGGTCACAACCCAAAAAGAGTTCTTGGAAGAACTTAAAAAAGAATTCAAAAATCAAGTAAGAGAGATCAAGGGAAAATTAGGGAAAAAAAGAAATTCAAGAAAATTATGCAAAGAAAGTTAACCAACTGAAGAGAAATTTTAGCAGGTATCCCAGGGTGGAATGGTTTTTGGGATGGGCCAGGTGACATATTTACACTTGTCTCCTGAACAGAACTCAGGGGTGCTTGTCACCATAAGGCTGCCTGCTGAGAGATGTTGTTTTTTTCCAACCACAGCAATTCATGGACACCTGTCTAGAGAGGACAGGAGGGTCTTTGATTTAGCTGCCCTGGTTAAGGTAGCTAGGTGGCCTAGTAGATGGAGTCAGAAAGACTTGAGT